AGACATCAATTTCTGTGGAAACAGCTCAGCAACTTACGCGAGAATTACACTTGCAGTGTAGCAAGTAGCTTCATCTTGAGTGAAATGGATGTTTGCTTAAAATCTCTGTAGTCACGACCAACCGCAGACAGCGCTGTTTCGTGCTCATTAGGGCGGTATAGGTCTAGTAATCCTCTAAACACTGTGCGGAGGTCAGCTTACCAAGATGATCTTGATCATCACCCCGTACGATTGAAGATGTCGGAAAACCCCTACGGCACCGGCCCGTAACTGCTCAACGTTCTACGCAATGCACAGATAGATGTCGCACCAAACAGTTTGTCTTATACTATCAACAATAAATAATTGCACAATATATATCAGAGTAAGAATAATAAATAAAAACACAAATAAACGCCATAATTGTAAAAGAAGTATAAGAGTTCACAGTATGCATAAAAAATTACCTGATTATTATTGGTAATATTGCATGACCACCGTAATCACCAGGTTTGACACTCATGGAGTATCCTAAGAGCACATATTACGTAAATACATCGAGGATTATCGCTGAGTTAAAAGAAAGTATCCAGCACAAAATAAGCGAAATTGGGTGGTGCAACATGCGACGAAGAAGTTGCCTGGGAGCCTAAAATTAAATTATGGGCTTTTGGAGGTTCTTCAAAAAATAAAATCCGTATATCTGTCATTTCCAATAAAATTATGTTTCCCAAAATCTGTAGTAATATTTTCCTGTAATTCGGAAATCTGAAATCCTCACAACAAAAATAGCGATGGATAGAAAATAACCGACAAACATAGACTTCAAAAAACGAAAATCTTGGTGCTTGTACTATGGTACTAGTACGGGAGGCCGCATGTCAGTTGGGGAAATGTTTGAGCCAAAATTGAATTGGATATTAAATAAATTAAAAATGAGACCATTAATATCCCCCTCACTTCCAGCGCATTGATATAATCATTTTCAAAATATGCGGAACTAGATATCGACATATATTATTTATTAAAGGTCCACTACACCGTTTTATATACTGCCCACCGTGTCCTAGCATGATACGGCATACACGATAAGGGGGGTGAAGATTTAAATCAGAGCGTATAGTATAAGTGAAAATATTTTATTCCATCCTAAGAAATTGTGGTAGATTATTTGCTTCATCTGAGATGAATTTTATCAAAACTATAGTAACAGTTACGTCAGATATACCAAAGGATCTTTCCAGACTGCTTGTTTTTTTGATTCCGATACAGTTTTTTCATCTTGACGCAAAATAGCACCACCGTCAAACATCTTCCTTTACAGCGCTTTTTATAAAATATCTACTTCTTATACCTGTAGTTATCCTTAGGCTTTATTCCCGCGACAGATTCTAAAATTTTCACATCCTGTTTTAAACAAAGGAAAGAAAAATCGTTTTATATTTCAACGGTAATATGTTTAGATGGTTAATACCACATCTAATTTTTCTACCCCAAAATTCCTGATGATTGGATTGGGACACCTTGTATTAGTGGTTACTCCACACTTGGGCTACAACTGATAACTATTGTTTCTCCCTTCGTATATGCCGGGGTATCTGCTCTTTGTATAAAAAAACCGGTATAGTCCTGTACATGCTGGATCCAGGAATCGTTTATAAGAATATATACATCTTTATCAGTTTCTTTCTATTGACTGTAATGTGAAATATTAGTTGACGAACAGCAGTTATAAGGTCATAGTCTGTTTACTAACACATTTCCAATATTTCTAAATACATTCATTATGAAGAATGCACAGACTCAAATAGCATTTTAGTTGTCTGTGTGATATATCCATGTTAGTTAAATCATTGTGATTTTCAGTTCTTGTCATGTGAGTAACATAAACTAGCATATATTATTTTATATAACTAATCATTGCCACTTCCGAATGCTTATCTTAAGCATATCTTGTGGTGGCTTGAATAATCTAGCTCGTTCATATCGTCTTTACGTTCACACTTTCTGACTCTGAGTCGGATTTTCATTCACTTATGGAGGCTTTTCATTTACCAAGTTCTTCAAATAAGCAGGTTTGAAATGGCAATTGTTTTATTTATACAGGTTGCCGCTAAAACAGATCGAAAGTACCGTTATTCATTTAAGGGGATGAAAATGTTGTCATATATATTTTACGTTGTTATAACATTTCTAAACCAGATAAAATATATCACTTATACCAGCTACGGAGTCCAAATTATAGGGATAATCACCGAAAAAATCTAAGAAATAAAAACGTTTTAAACTTCGCAATGATCGAGGTATTTAAACTCAAACATGTCGGGACCTCATTTTAATAATTGTTAGTGGTAGTAAAAGTTTCTCACATATCGAGGGTCTACTTAACCGGATTCAAGGACGGATTTAGAGTGGAGCTCCATCCCTAGACGGCTAGATGCTCAAGCCTGCTTTTTTTTTCAATAAAATGATAGAAATTGCTGAAGCTTTTTGTTAAAATGATATTGTTAAACCTGAATTGTCGTGTAAACTGCAACTGCAACCCCCGTTCTCAATGTTTACAGTCTTTGGGGCTCAACCCCCTCAGAATTCCATGACCTAATACGTTTTTTCTTATAGAGGGTGTTTTCAAACTTGAGTTATTTATTTTAACTGGTTGTAGGATTCGGCAAAAGAAGATGATATACAAAAATAGAATGTTATTACACAGATTTTTTGATATTCTCCACCGCTGCCGTGTAAAATCTTTTTTTTGTTTTGTTTAGGTACTCTTGTCGTTTATCTAAATTACGCAAACTTTTTGTACTATTGTAAGGTTTTCATGACGAGTCTTTGGCTCGATCAGTTGTATACTTTTAATAGTTCCTATACTTTCATTTGTCTGATTATTTTGAGCGAAAAAATGGCCAATGTTTACGAAATAATGAACTAGGACATAACATAATAATGACATACGGAGAGTGAAAATAAAATGCAGCCGCAGCATGCAGGTTGTACGCGGAAAGGTTTTCTTCAAGAAATCATCCGGCCCCACGGATGTTTGTAAATTTAGTCATTAGACTTCGTGGCACAGGATATTTAAAAGTACAACGAGGTCACGCTGGACGAGCTGCTCAACTTGAAATTTTACAAATTGAGGGAGAGATTTTGGAAATGGCTGAAGTCGACCCAACAATGAGTACTAGAGCCATAGCAGCTCAAGTTAAAGTTTCTCATTCAGAAGGTGGAATATGACATTCTTGCCGTATTGTCATATTATCATATACTAAGTGACATATAAATCTGAACACCCAGTTTAAATGGTTTTATTTTAATAAAAGTTGATGAATGTATTTATCTTACTGTAAATAACAAGTGAAAAAATGTTCAGCCTTATCAGTTGGACGGTTTTTATATTGCTTTTTTTTAATTCACTAACGCTCTAAAAATGAATATTTCAGCCGCAGTAAAGAATCAACGTTGGCGGATTTTGGTTCTTGACATCCTTTACGATCGGTTACGATGCCTACAGTACGGAGACCTATACGATTTCGTCAACTTAGTGAGTTTGATAGGGGCCGTATAGTGGGACTTCGGGAAGCTGGACTTTCTTTTCGGGCAATTGCAGTTAGAGTGCAAAAAAGTGTAGACGCTGTGGTTAGGTGTTGTCAGGCATGGCTTCGAGAAGGCCGTACGCAAAGAGCAAGGGACACTGAACGCCGCCGTAGAACAACATACCGTGAAGATCGCCGCCTAAGATTATTGGCCTTAAGGGACCGTTTCTCCACTACCAGGTCCATTGCAAATGAATGGTTTGCAGAACACGGAAGACCTATTAGCATGCGAAGTGTTTACCGACGAATGAGAAGTTTTGGCTTGTTTTCATACCGGCCACACTGGGTCCTCCCTTTAACTCGAGAACACCGACGTAATCGCCTTGAGTGGTGCAGATAACGGTTACTCTGGGATCAGGAATGGAACAGTATTGTCTTTAGTGACGAGTCTCGATTTTGTTTAGGCATGCACGATGGTCGTGCCAGGGTTAGAAGGCGACGTGGTGAAAGGAGGAATCCACAGTTTTTTGTTGAAAGACATGTTCATCACACTGTTGGAGTTATGGTTTGGGGTGCTATAGCTTATGGTTCCAGGTCACCTTTAATCTTCATCAGAGGTAACATGAACGCGCAGCGTTATATCCACGAAGTTCTAGAACCCCATCTTTTACCCTATCTTGACACCCTGGCAGATCCAACTTTCCAACAAGGTAATGCCCGACCACATGTTGCAAGAGTCACAATAGACTTCTTTCAACATAATGATGTCACATTGTTACCATGGCCACCAAGATCTCCCGACTTATCCCCAATTGAGCACGTGTGGGATATGATGGGTAGGAGATTGCTCAATTTGCAACGTCCTCCTCAGACTCTAGAAGCACTTCGAGAGGAGTTGGTGGTTGCCGGGAATGAGATACTACAGGCGGACATTGACCACCTGATCAGAAGCATGCCTAGGCGCGTTGGAGGATGCGTAGCACATCAGGGTGCAACCACACATTATTAAAGGTCAAAGGGCTTTAAAGCAGTGCAATCATTTTGAAATTTTTATCATTTACTTATTATGCTTCATTAAGTACTTATACAAAATTTTATTAAAATAAAACCATTTAAACTGGGTGTTCGGAGTTATATGTCACTTAGTATATTATAAACGAGTACAAGCGTTGCAGACTGACACAATCTGCCACAATTATTAGATGTTCCTCTAAATGTGGGTCAGAATATGTGGTTTCTACATGATATGTATATAATTGTACAGATAACATACATCAAAACAAATCCTGGAAGATATTAGATACATTAATATCTCAACTGTTAAAATATTTACACTGCTAGGAAAAGTCGTTAAATAACTACTAGTAACATCTTAAAAGCCCATCAGAGAAAGGGGTGATCAATATAGTGTCTCAAAGTCTTGTCAGCTATAGAAACACTGTTGTTAGAGCTGTGCCGTGGGTCCTTCCGTAATTACCTCAGTTGTCCCCGAATAGCTCCGGGCTTCTGCAATTTTATTTATTCTCTAATTTCTGCTCGGCACCGAAGCTGTTTGTACCTTAACCACTTGGAACATTTGGTTGACTGGTATGCGGCCTCCCGGACTACAATTAATAACATTTCCAGCCAATAAATTATTTTTCATCAATTACTTTCTATTAGCGCCTATTCATGTAGCCAAACGCAGCTTAACAACATTCAACAATCATCTGCCAGAAATCGCTCGACAAATACGCATCTCCGGTCTACTTCCGCGCAAAAATAGAAATAGCCGGTTGGTCTTTATTTACTTTTAGTGTGTTTTGATTCTTATTTTCGTCACCATGTCGGCCAAGCACTCGAAACAGTTTTGCCGCAAGTCAAGGTAAGTCGCATGATGGCATGTGACCTATTTATTGTGTTCCTTTTGAGAGCTTTAAATTTTGATAAAGCCACAGAATAATAAGTAAAGAAAAGGTCTGGAGCGTATGGGCTCTTTTAAGCCCTCTCACAAAAGGAATGCGCAGTTTGTTCTATTCATGTTTGTATGTGTTATTGCTTTAAACACGTAACACATATATCATTCGTATTTGTTCACTTGGATAAATATGCAGTGCCAATTGGAGTAAAGTAGTTTGACTTGGTACTTCCCCCGCCTTTAATGTTTGTTACTTTAAGCAGTCTCCCACATTGGTCCAATTTCATTCAATTTATTTTTTAACGATGTTATGAATCTACATATATCAAATAGCAGTTATTTGATTTTTGCAGATGATTGAATTTATTCAGAACAGCGAGAAGTATCTACGATACAAAAATCTTACAAAGAGATCTCGAAGTACTAGCATCAACATCAATTTGAATAAATGGTACCAGATAAGCTTCAGGCGTAGTCTAAATTCTGTCATGTATGAATATAAAGTTGAAAACCGTGACCTCATGAGAACTGATACATTTAGAGATTTAGGTGTAACTTTTGATACAAAATTAACTTTTGAAAAATTAGAAAAATTACTTCTAAGCCATATAAAATATTAGGATACAAATTTAGATCTACTAAACATCTCTCTGCAGAAGTTTTTAGAATTTTATACCGCGAGTATTTTGGAGTACAACATAGTGAATGCTTCAGGACTAACGAGAGCGTTGAACATAGACTTCTTGAAACACCGCAGGGAATTTTGACGCTTGATATAAAAAAGCTAATGTGTGGTGAAACGCGAGCGAACAAGTAAAAAGAAATTGAAGTACTCACTGTTCAGTTGAATTGAAATTCCAAGTACGGCTCTGTCGTAAAATCCGTATTTACATCGTAGTCGTACGTCGTAAACTGTTCGCTGGCGCTGCGGACGTTATCGAGGGATAGGACAGGACCGGCTTCGGTTTGGTTCAGGTTTGAGTTTGCGGAGCCCAATATTTCGGTTCTCTTGAGACATTGGTGTAAATAACCGTAAATAAATAGATGAAATATTCAAAACAAATTTGAAAATATCGGGATCAGGGTCTATAAGCAAGGTTTCAAGTCCCTAAAAATTTGGAGTAGATCGCATCTATAACATTTTTGCTTTTATATGTTTTAGGTCATATCTATTTTATAGTTTCATCAAAATTTTTCATCTTAACACTAGATTGATTTTTAAAGGTCCAAAGTTCGCATAATGAGTATTTTTATATGAATGCATGGTCACAACAATTTATACTTCCAATCTCTAATAAAGTAAGTACCCAAGATACAAAACATATACATACTAAGTGACATATAAATCCCAACACCCAGTTTAAATGGTTTTATTTTAATAAAAGTTGGGGAATATATTTATCTTACTGTAAATAACAAGTGAACAAATTTTCAGCCTTATCAGTTGGACACTCCGGTTTTTATACTGCTTTTTTTTAATTCACTAACGCTCTAAAAATGAATATTTCAGCCGCAGTAAAGAATCAACGTTGGCGGATTTTGGTTCTTGACATCCTTTACGATCGGTTACGATGCCTAGAGTACGGAGACCTGTACGATTTCGTCAACTTAGTGAGTTTGATAGGGGCCGTATAGTGGGACTTCGGGAAGCTGAACTTTCTTTTCGAGCAATTGCAGTTAGAGTGCAAAGAAGTGTAGACACTGTGGTTGGGTGTTGTCAGGCATGGCTTCGAGAAGGCCGTACGCAAAGAGCAAGGGGCACTGGACGCCGCCGTAGAACAACAGACCGTGAAGATCGCCGCCTAAGATTATTGGCCTTAAGGGACCGTTTCTCCACTACCAGGTCCATTGCAAATGAATGGTTTGCAGAACACGGAAGACCTATTGGCATGCGAAGTGTTTACCGACGAATGAGAAGTTTTGGCTTGTGTTCATACCGGCCACACTGGGTCCTCCCTTTAACTCGAGAACTCCGACGTAATCGCCTTGAGTGGTGCAGACAACGGTCACTCTAGGATCAGGAATGGAACAGTATTGTCTTTAGTGACGAGTCTCGATTTTGTTTAGGCATGCAAGATGGTCGTGCCAGGGTTAGAAGGCGACGTGGTGAAAGGAGGAATCCACAGTTTTTTGTTGAAAGACATGTTCATTACACTGTTGGAGTTATGGTTTGGGGTGCTATAGCTTATCGTTCCAGGTCACCTTTAATCTTCATCAGAGGTAACATGAACGCGCAGCGTTATATCCACGAAGTTCTAAAACCCCATCTTTTACCCTATCTTGACACCCTGGCAGATCCAACTTTCCAACAAGATAATGCCCGACCACATGTTGCAAGAGTCACAATAGACTTCTTTCAACATAATGATGTCACATTGTTACCATGGCCACCAAGATCTCCCGACTTATCCCCAATTGAGCACGTGTGGGATATGATGGGTAGGAGATTGCTCAATTTGCAACGTCCTCCTCAGACTCTAGAAGCACTTCGAGAGGAGTTGGTGGTTGCCTGGAATGAGATACTACAGTAGGACATTGACCACCTGATCAGAAGCATGCCTAGGCGCGTTGGAGAATGCGTAGCACATCAGGGTGCATCCACACATTATTAAAGGTCAAAGGGCTTTAAAGCAGTGCAATCATTTTGAAATTTTATCATTTACTTATCATGCTTCATTAAGTACTTATACAAAATTTTATTAAAATAAAACCATTTAAACTGGGTGTTCGGATTTATATGTCACTTAGTATATATAGAAATAAAAAGTATTGCTCCACTACGCACACAATAAAAACAAAAGCAGAAAAAAATCAATACACAATAATAATGAGACTTCAACCTTTGCGCTTAATGTCGAGCAACACTTTTATTTTTATATATGTTTTGTGTGTCTGGCAAGAGAATTCAAAACCGTGTTGCTGAAAATATATGACATTTGCGACTTCAGGAATTCTGTGTTCGAAACAACAGATAATATTCTTAATACGAAAGCTACACAGCTCTACTACATTCGTATTCGGAACCAATTTCACTACGAATTTTATAAGTTTCCAACAACAAACTAACTTAGTTTTGAGTCCTCTTAGTTGGTACTCACCGCCCAGCATTTTTTTGTATACAGTATTGCGCCCATGGCCTCGTATGAAAATACTTAAGTTAAATATCCGAAAGTGGGTTTTTCGGAACTTGCCTTTCGAAAAATAATCAAGTACTTGAGTAAAAAAAATTCATCAAAATCCGAGCAGTACTTTCCAAGTTATTAGCGATCCAAAGATTAGCGGACAGACAGATGAAAGTTCAAAATACATATGTTTTAAAATATTTAAAAAATTCGATAGATGTGGTCAACTCCTTATCTTTAGAGCCGAAAATCCCGTTTATACTCCTAGTCCCTGATCCTTTGCAGTAAAGCCTCAACAAAAAAAAAACAGTTAATAACATCCAAGTCGCAAAAGATTGTTTGCATTGTGGAAAAAAGAGATGCTTGCCATAGGTGTGGAATCTTCAAAATTGTACATTATCTATGTGTAGAATATTGTAAAAAAACTACGATTTTCAAACAACTCAAAACGTTTCTTTTCTCATAACTCAAATGAGAGGAAGTCAGACTGATCAAAAGCCTCGGCTACCAGCTCACTGAGCCAGAAAACATCAAGTACATTTCGTGTCGTTATTTTTTCAAAAACTCCAAAAGTCAGGTTTAAAAACAAAGTAAGCGTGTACATCATTTTATTTCTTGATAGTGGAAAATTAAATTCGACTTTAATACATAATTATGAAGTGAGTGTAAGGCAAGAAAACCTAGTATGTGGGCCTAAATTTTTGAAACTAATCATGAAACGGATTTTAATACGGTGATCAGAGCCAAATAAATGATAAGATACCATCATCAATAGTAAACTGGATTTCCCTTATCGTAGGTTCGTCCTCCATCAGTTTGAGAGTATGTACATTGGTACTGATTCACAGAATGATTCTGTACCTAATTATTACCAGCAAAGAGTTATGGGCTAGTAATATACATATGTCAATAACACCTTTGAAATGGATATTAACTGTTCCTAATCTCGATGACTATGACTATGTGCATTTTCACTCATTCAGCTTCCACAAAGCTTCTCGTGAATACTGCTTTTTTGGTCTTTCGATCTTTTTTACCGAATGTAGCTGAAGCTGAGGCTTCAGTTAGACCCTAATTCCATATTCCTTTAAGCCAGAAAAATATGCTGTAATTTTTATAACAGTAAATGTACTGCGCTATCGATTGAACTAGTTTTCTTGATATTCTGGCTTTGGGCAGCTACACATTGATCGATACCAGCAGACGACGGCCGGCGTCGCCTTTATTTTACGTTTTGTTTCCTACCGAAATACAGTTCATAGGTCGGTAGCAGGCGACACGATAACACCAACGCCGAAATTTTGAAAGTTTCCATTCGTATATATAGTATTAACGGGTGATTTTTTAAGAGGTATAGGATTTGATTTTCAAAAAAAAACACAAAAAATCTGAAAAAACGATTAAATCTTTATTTGAGTCGGTAGAACGGTCGAATATTGGCTTCCAGTGCGTCAATCGTTGCTGGTTTATCCCTGTAGACATTAGCCTTAACATGGCCCCACAAGAAATAGTCCAATGTCAGCCAAGTCCAGCTCTTCCATTTTGGGCAAAAAAAAGTTTATCATCGCATGGTAGCGCTCGCCATTCACAGTTACGTTCCGGCCATTGTCGTCTTTGAAGAAGTACGGCCCGATGATGCCACCGGCCCATAATCCACACCAAACAGTGATTTTTTCGGGATGCATTGGTAGCTCTTGCAATGCATCTGGCTGGTGTTCACTCCAGATGTGGCAATTTTGCTTGTTAACGTACCCATTCAACCAGAAATGAGCTTCTTCGCTGAACACAATTTTTCGATAAAAATGTGGATCTTCCTCCAACTTTGCCAGCGCCCATTCACCAAAT